AAGAAGTTGATTCGATCTGTCTTGAACTCGCACTTGGGACGATTCAACTTAAGTCCACTGTCGTGAAGCGCTCTGAAAGTTTCCGTCAAGGCGGCGTCGTGATCCTCCTGAGTTTTGCCGAATACCAGAATGTCGTCTGATATGTTCTTTGCTCCACGAACTCCCTGAATAATACTACGGATTGTCTCTTGAAAAATTTCAGATGCAGCTGACACTCCAAAGTTGAGGTGCTTGTATCTAAATATTCCAACATGTGTGTTGAATGTTGTGATCGAGCGACTAGCAGGTCCCAATTCCAATTGGTGATAGCCTTGTCGAAGTTGCAGTTTGGAAAACACGGCTGCTCCGTTTAAGTCGTGAATAAACTCATTTATGTTGGGCATGAGATGACACTCTCTGATTATGGCTTTATTTGCCTCGTGCATGTCGACACACACACGGATTTCCTCTGGATTCTTCTTAGGAACACAAACTATAGGAGAAATCCAAGGTGCAGGCTCATCCTTCACTCGCTCTATTATGTCGTCGTCCAAAAGTTTCTGAAGTTCAGCTTCTACTTTGGGTCTGAGATGAAATGGTGTTCGACGACTACGTTGAGCTACGGGTTTCACAGACTCGTCAATATGAATTCTCACAGTTCTGTCTTTGAGTTTTCCTATACCAATGAACAGACCAGGATATCTTTCAGTAATAGGGGACAGTTGGTGAACAACTTGAACAAGTCCAAACGACATACATGTTTGATACCCTAGGAGGGCTCCATATTTTTTTTTTTATTTTATTTAATGCCCATGAGCAGAGAAGAAGATTTTCGAAGAATTTATGCATTTTCACTACTGTATACAGGGTTATTTTCGTCCTTTTGAACTTGTGAACAATTTCGCCCAGTCATAGTTCTGTTTAAGAAATTTGAGGTGTAATTTGAATTCGTCCCGTTTTAAATTCGCCCAATCAAGGAGAGGGCGAAAGGGGCGAAAATTTCCCTGTATACAGTATATAATCTATATAGCCCAACCCTAACATTGGAACCATTGACCCTGGGGTCATGAGATTCACAATTTTGCCATATTTTGCTGAACTATGCACTTTGATAGGTTATTTAATGCCAAAGAGCAGAAAAGAAGAAATTCAAAGAAATAATTCATTTTCACTAAATAATCTATTAAGCCCCGCCCTAGCACTAGAACCCATGACCCTGGGCCATGATATTTACAATTTTGGAAGAGGCAGGCTTATTCAACATAACTATTAACTTGTTTCGTTTATTTAATATGCCCATGAGGAGAGAAGAGGAATTTAAAAGAATTTATGCATTTTCACAGTATAATCTAAACAGCCAAACCCTAACACTGGAACCCCTGACCCTGGGGCCATGAAATTCAGAATTTTGGAATAGGAAGCCTTATTCGACATAACTAAACACTTGGTTTGTTTATTTAATGCCCATGAGCAGAGAAGAAGATTTTCAAAGAATTTATGCATTTTCACTATATAATCTATATAGCCCCACCCTAACACTGGAACCCTTGACCCTGGTGTCATGAGATTCACAATTTTGCCATATTTAGCTGAACTATGCACTTTCATAGGAAATTAATGCCAAAGAGCAGAAAAGACGAAATTCAAAGAAATAATGCATTTTCACTATATAATCTACTTAGCCCCGCCCTAGCACTACAACCCCTGACCCTGGGTCCATGAATTTCATAATTTTAGTAGAGTGCTTGTTGTTTAATACAATCATACAAACAGTCTGAATGCTTGATGTCCAGGAGTAGAGAAAAAGATTTTTAAAGTCTGCACTAATTTTAGATTTTTAGGCCCCAATCCAAGGCCCCAGGGGGGTAGGGACCATGAAATTCACAATTTTTGTTCCCTTTACTCATAGATGCTATATGCCAAAAATTGGTTGAAATTTGTTCAGCGGTTTCAGAGACGAAGCTGAAAATGTTCAAATGTTAACACACGATAGACGACGGACGACGATGGACGAAAACGGATAGCAATAGGTCACCTGAGTTTACTCAGGTGACCTAACAAATGGAATCATTAATTGCCAACTGACAATCACGCTAAATTCTACTCGTATAACTATGGCAGGGGCATCGAGAAATGAAAAGAGAATGAAACAGTCTTGCATGTTTTAATTTTTATAAATTAAAGAAATGGTTCAATTTCACTTCATGCAGGATCTAGTGAATATTTATGAGAAGTAAATCACGTGGGAGCAACCTCATGAATAAACTGCACATCGTTTCTCCATATGATACGACCTAAACTGAAAAGACGTGTAACTACAGGTACATACATGTGTTCAATTATATTGTAGCTCGTTTGTTTAAATTTAAGCTTAACCTTTCTATCATTACTAGAAAATCTAAGAAGTTATTTACAAATGTATTTATGAAATGCTTTTTTTTAATCGAAATCTTCGCATTTTACTAAAAACCGATTTCCATCCAGAATTCGATCCGCGTGCTACTGGCTCTGTCGGAACGAAATGCTCTCTATAAACTCCAAACTTGAACGGTACAATGTCGACTTCCAAGATACGGAAGAAATAAATGCGAACTTTTTAAAAATAATTTCATTTAACTCCTTTTTAATTTCATAATTATTCATTATTTATCATTTATTTCATTTTAAACCAAATTTAACTGGAATTGCGCAATTAACAAACTTAATGATGTTCCATATGCATCCATATTACGGCCGACGCAATAGTCGTGCATGTCGTAGATTTGATTGATTCCTGTTGAATGCATTTTTACCATAATTTCTAAGTTAATTTGAATTCAATGTGCATATTGTTTATCGTTATTCAGTTACTTTTCTTTTTATAAAATGTTTTGTCAGATTTTGACATAAATTAGCGGTTTTACGTTTACGCAGAATCAAGAAGATTTATCAATGATATTACCCAAGCTGAACAGTTAATAATTAACGTATTAGAGACGCCGAGAGGGCTTGGAATTCCTCTACAAACACATTTCTACTGAGCAGTATGTAGTCAATACATGGGTGTTAAAGGTGTGAATTTCTGACGGCGTCGAGATACCCGGAGTCGTCCGTGCGTGACGAACAACCAGCTGGAAAACAATTAGGTTAAGGGTCTTCCACACCATGTTACCTGTGACGTATATAGAAAAAATACTTTTACTTCCGGTTTTATTGAGAATATACATGATCGAATTGTCCTACCACCGTTTGTAAACAACGAACACAAGGCATGATCACGAAGTGACCGATGAAAGGATGTGTGATATTTTTTTTTTATAAAAGAACAACAGACTGGATTATGTTAATAGGGATAATAATTCCTAGACAACAGGTACCGGTGGGTATGACGAGAAAGGCATAAATTATTTACACTTTCAGGCTAATCATCCGAGTCTGTTTTTGATAGTTGAACATGTTGAAATTTCGGCACACTATTTTGTACGTTCAATAATACAATATTTCATTGTGTGTTTATAAATATTGATCAAATATCGTGCGTTTCTAGTTTTCCTCTTTTATTTTTGTCCAGTTCAGTGGCCATTATATTACTTATTATAGTATGGTGAGAGGAAACTTGCCAAAGTTTTTGAGTCCCGAGCAACAGGAAAGATAACTCCAAAAAGAAACTTTGATACCAGAGATTTTGAAATTTTCTTTTTTCATCAGTGCATTTAATTTTAATTCAATTTTTTGATGTAATCTTATTCATTAATGTTTCTTCTCTACAAAAGGAGTCCTTATTGATTTTCTCGAGATGTATTTCAGAGAAAATGAGTTTTATGTACTTTTTATAATTAAAATAAATTTCTATAAAAAATGTGTTGATAGATAAAATTAAGTTTTTATGGTCATTCTGTGAGCTTAAAAATATACGAAAGGGTAAGACAAAATTTTTTGTGCTAGGTATGAAAACGCCTTGGAAAAAAATACTTGAAACTTGTGAAATATTTATTTTTAAAAATCAGTATAAATTACATTTTAATCCCTGGACAGTTTTTAAAGGTTGATATGCTTATTAAAAGTAATGCTCAATAATATGAGAACAGATGTCGACATAAACCAGGTAAATTTGGCCCTTGGTACTGTGAATATACGTCGAAATAAGTGGGGTTGTCGACATTACCAAGGTCGACATATCAGAGTTTTTACCAATCATTTATATAGTAAAAAGTGCCGGGACCGCGGACGGACTTCAAAATATCCAAGGTTCTCGACATATCCGATGTCGAGATACGGAAGTTTACTTGTATGTGCGATTCTACTGACGTCAAAAAGCATGCTGTAGTAATTTTTTATGTAGCTTGTTGGTTTCATACAGATTAAAATAAAAAATCACCTCATTTTGTGGTATATTTAAGAATTGTTGGTTTTTATATGATGCCATTGGTAAGTTTGCCCTACAAATTAGGCTCCACTTTTCATCGTGCTGCGAAATTAAGTATTCTAAATGTATGCATTTCTACTTTGGAAATCGTTTATGAAAAACCATATCTGTCCGAGTGTATAGAATATTTTTATTTAGGAAATAAGCATTTTTTTATTCAATATAAATTAATATAACAACACTTATTCGCTTACATGTATTTCCGTGCAATTTGATTTTGCTATAAAGTGATTAAAACTTAAATATGTAGTTTAAAAAAAATGTATACCTACAGCCACATTAAAAAGTTACTAGACATCTTACATGTATACTCCATTATAATATAATATTTCCAAAACTGAACAAGACAGAGGAGTTCTGTGATAAATTCTTTTCCGTCGTTTTCCTAAATAATCACGCATATTTGTGATCGTCAAGATGAAAATTTTGTAAAGAAGAAAAAGACGAAGCTTTAAAACACAAGACCCATTGACAATAAGTGGAACTGGATCAACATATTAAGTTCATTATGACATATAAATATAATACAGTATTGCATATAATATTGATAGTACACTACATGTATTTACATCTCTTAATGATATAAATTTTCTGTAACTTTATTGTTGTTATATACCTTAATGAAATACATCAAACCAGACACATACATCATTAGAGGTTTTTCTGCCAAAAGAAAAAGAGAAATTATATTCGCAAAAATATGATAAATAACGTATGTAGTAACATATACATATTTTGCATCTCTCTTTAAAATAAACATGTAAAAAACATTTTGTCCATATAACATTTTGAACAGGCCATAGGCAATTACCTGGTCTCGGCTCTCAGCTCAGTAATATGCTATAAAAAGTTTTTCTGTGCCGACCCAGGTTATAGCAAGATTTATATGTATAAAAATGTATGAAATGTATGAAGTACGCAAATAAAATTATGATAATTATTTTAATGTAAACAAGTACTGCTTATGGTACTTTCTCGATATAAATGCGGTACTACTCTTTTGCAGGGCAAAGAAAAACCGATTAGCAAAGTTTTTATTAATAGCTTATTAAATTGTAAATGACATATATTAAAGAATTGAATTAACGTCATAGTTAATATGTAAAAAGTTATATTATTTGCCCTGCAAAAAGAGTGGTAAAGCAGATAAAGTGATAGGGTATATTAAATCCAATTATTTTTTGCGATGGATTTGGAATAGAGAATTATGAAGGATGTGTAATAGTATTTTGAAAGCTGCTTAACCTCAAATTGTTTTTCTTAATTTTCTTTTAGTAAGATCCTTAAGATAACATGTACATGTAACATCTGGGTGTTATTCTATATGTCTTTCTTCATTTAACTTAACTCATGATAAATATACGAGGGCCGTTCAAAAATTACGCGGACTGTGCTATTATTTACTCTTACAGACGTCATAGAGTTATGAAATTTCACAGAAATATGTATCTCAAAGATTGCAATAAATTTTGGGCAAAATTTCTGTATTTTAAAAAAATTCTACTAAAATTATCGGTATGTTGATATCGCTAATGGAGAGGTACGGAGCACGACAAAAAATTTGAAGCAAAAGCATGCGGAATCCAAAATTTAACTCATTTATTTTCTATAATTCGCAATATTTTTCGACAATTTTCTCAAATGTATTTTTAAATTGTTCTATTATTATGTATTTGGATTTCTGACGTGATATTTGAAGTACTAACCGAAATATAGTGATTTTCCTCTGATGCGATTCCCGTGAAAACGACTGAGAAAATGACGTCTCGTGAATTGACGGTGCACCACACTTTAGTTAAATTATGTGTAATGCTCGAGATATCGCCAACATATATCCAAAATATGCATAATAAAACATGTAGTAAACTAGGGTATTCGTGACATTCGTCCACAAATAGCAAATAGGAATTTTAGACAGTTAGACCTCTGTAAAATGGCTATACGGGAGGACGTGAAGAAGATTATCGACGAAAACTTTATCCGGACTGTAAAGAACGTGATTGAGAGTCACCAATATCACACTATATCTGATAAATACCTGCAGTTTTTGGTTTAAAAACAAAAAAAGAATATTCTTTACTTGTTTAATAGATTTAAAGCTTGACAAGAAATGGTGTTTGGATGTTGAGTAGATATTAAGATAACTCAAACTGTACAGGTACTCTTGGGAAAATGTTGAGAAAATGAAAGATCAATCACATATTTTTTTATAATGTCTGTGACGTCGAAGATTTTGCTGCTCCGTGACTTAAGGATATGTCCTGAAAATCACTCAAAATTGATACCAATTTTCAACATTTTGATCTGAAATTTTGTAGACCATATAAGTAAAGATTCTTTTATATTATGTGCGACATTTTGCCCGATTATGTCGTCAAATATTTTTTCTGTGCAGCAAGTCCGCGAAATTTTTGAACGGCCCTCGTATATAAAAAGAAGCTGTTTGAACTTTTAAAGCAATATTATCACGTGACAGAACAACTGACTAACACTTAGCACTTGTCAATCACCGTTGTTTTGTCAAACAATTTATTTAAGCTGTGGCCAGACTCTGTATCTTCTTTAAAATACGTCTGCTTTACTGAAATATTTTATCTAATGTTTTGTATCAAATAAACATTTCCTATCAAGTTAACTGTTTCGGATAAGTGTCTTAATCCAACCTTTTCCGACCGAGGTTCCTCCAACTAATTATCAAAATCAAACGTCGAGCGTATACATGTATCTTTTAACATTTTCGGCATTTAATATCAAAAGTAAATTTCCAGATAATACCCTGTTCACTGCATATATATTAAATAACAGAAATTTTTCAAAAAAATTTTCCTTTCAAATATTTTTTTTCTGCATGCTTGATGAATACGTAAAGCTTAATTACTTTTTTAAGCCGATTTTATACACGACGAAATTTCGCCAAAATCTAGTATGCGTAGTTAGTATTTCGGTTATAATCTTATTGCTTCCTCATAAATATGAATTTGAGTAATATCTGATAAATTTAAACCCTTATTGAACAAAAGGCCCAGGGGCCACATCGCTCACCTAAGCAATTGGCTAAGAAAAAGCACACATCAGATCAGAACTGAAAGTTAACCGGGGGGGGGGGGGGAGGGGGCTTGAATTTTAACCCTCCGGGGGTCATGATTAGAACAAACTTCTATTACTAAGCATGGCTTTAAAGTACTTGAAAAGAAGATTTTAAAAGTTTTCCCTAGATATTCCTATGTTAAACTTTTATCGGCCATTATGGCCCCACGCTACCGCCGGGGATCATGATTTCAACAAACTTGAATCTACACTACCTAGGGATGATTCCACAGAAGTTTCATCTTTCCTGTCTCAATGGTTCTTGAGAAGATTTTTCCTATATATACCTATGTAAAACATTGATCGGCCATTTTGGCCCAACCCTACCCCTGGGGGTCATGATTTGAACAAAATTGAGTCTACATTAACCTGAGGATTATTCCACATGAGTTTCATCTTTCCTGGTCCAGTGGTTCTTGAGAAGAAGTTTTTTCCTCTGTAAAATTGGTCGGCCATTTTAGCCCCACCCTTACCCCAGGGGTCATGATATGAACAAACTTGAATCTACACTACCTGAGGATGATTCCATATGAGTTTCATCTTTCCTGGCCCAGTGGTTCTTGAGAAGAAGATTTTTTAAGATTTTTCCTATGTATTGCTCTGAAAAACTTTGATCGGCCATTTTGGCCCCACCCTAACCCAAGGGGTCATGATTTCAACAAACTTGAATCTACACTACCTGAGGATGATTCCACACGAGTTTCATCTTTCCTGGCCCAGTGCTTCTTGAGAAAATTTATAAAGATTTTTTCCTATATATTGCTTTGTAAAACTTTGATCGGCCATCTTGGCCCTACCCTACCCCCAGGGGTCATGAATTGAACAAACTTGAATCTACACTACCTGAGGATGATTCTATATGAGTTTCATCTTTCCTGGCCCAGTGGTTCTTGAGAAGAAGATTTTTAAAGATTTTTCCTATATATTGCTATGTAAAACTTTGATCAGCCATCTTGGCCCCACCCTACCCCCAGGGGTCATGATTTGAACAAACTTGAATCTACACTACCTTAGGATGATTCCACATGAGTTTTATCTTTCCGGGACAAGTGGTTCTTAAAAAAAAAAAAATTAAATGCCATTAATTTTTCTCTAATTCATAATTATCTCCCCTTGGAAAAGGGCGTGGCCCTTCATTTGAACAAAGTTGAATCCCCTTTACCCAAGAATACTTTATAGCAAGTTTGGTTGAAATTGGCCCAGTGGTTCTTGAGAAGAAGATGAAAATGTGAAAAGTTTACGACAACGACGACAGACAACGGACAAATTTTGATCAGAAAAGCCTTTGGCTCAGGTGAGCTAAAAAGGAAATAAGTCGGTACGTATTTAAATCCTCTGAAAAAGCACTTGGCTTTCAAATGGTTTTCAAAAGTGCCCGACCGACTGTATTTGAAACCTATTTATCTCTTTAAAATTCTGATTATTTAAAAAGGGCTTACACTGAAGGAAGTCAATTAAAGCGTTTAACTAGATGGGTTTTTCACACCAGGAAACAAAGGCACTTGAATAGTTTCCTTCTTATTGAAATTACAGAACATGATTTAGTTTATCAAGCTAAAACATAAAATACACCTATACTTTTATGTATTTGCCATGAAATTTAATACCATGACTCTATATTACCTTACACATTTTAATTTTTACGCCAACAGGTGGAAAGAAAAGGTAATAGATTTTTATTGGCCTTGGGTTTTTACCCACAGTATAAATATATAATCCTGGTCAAAAATATTATACAGTCGGTGCTTGGGCTTTCATTTTCAAAATTATTATTAAGAAGTCCTTTTATTCGGTTTAACAACATTTTATCATTTCTTGTCCTTCATTTTAGTATTTTTCTCAATCGTTGTCGGATATTTTTGTGGCATAATTACATCACATTATCAAGTATGAAAAAAAAACTTGGTTTTTCTACGTAAAGCATGTAAAAGGTTGGTGATGGTTTTAAAAAAGATGTTCTTTGGCTAACACAATTTAATAATCTTCATAACCTGATTTGATTGATTGTATACTGTTTAACGTCCCTCTCCAGAATATTTCACTGATATGGAGACGTCACCATTGCCGGTGAAGGGCTGCAAATTTAGGCCTATGCTCGGCACTTACGGCCTTGGAGCAGGGACGGATCTTTATCGTGTCACATCTGCTGCGGCACGGGGCCTCGGTTTATATGGTCTCATCCGAAGGACCGCCCCATTTAGTCGCCTTTTACGACAAGCAAGGGGATATATACTGAGGACCTATTCTAACCCGGATCCCCACGGGAATAACATGGATATTCCTTAAGACACATACTGCAGCTGCTATCCGTCATTCTGACGTCAAAATTCGTGTATTACAATATAAGTAATAGAGACATGGATTTTCAAAATATTTCTTTTGAATTGATTTACAATATAGCAAATATGGGATCCTACCCATCTTGTATTGATTTATATAGAAGATATTCATTCAAAACATACCTTTTTGTTTTGATATGTCATCTGAATCTCCTTTATAGGTATTCTACCTGTTTTTGTCGAATTAAACATAACATATTGTACGTGATATACAATCAGACTTTGTTAGAGTGATTCCC